GGGCGGGCGGGTGCGCTGGCGAGCTGCACGCGGGATAGTTGCAGGGGGGTGCACGCTGAGCGAAATGACCGTGGGCGGCGGCGTGTGAGTGGGGGAGGGGGAGGGGGGGTGCGTGGTGCGAGTTATCCCCTGCGGATAAGAGGATATTCGAAGCGGCGGCGGCGGAGGGTAACGCGAGTGTGTGTGTGTGGGGTAAACCCGGCCGGCAGCGAAGGAGGACAGGTAACGTGTGTGTGTGACGTAGCGGCGGACGGGTAGAAATATAACGACCCGGCGGCGTAGGCGAGGGAGAAGATTCACCGCCGCCGCCGGGGTACGCGTGTGTGCGTGTACGGGTTTTACGACGCGCGCGGAGTGCCCTTCGAAACGAGTTTCGGTTTAACCGCTGCTATCCGCCGAAGCCGCCGCCGCCGCCGCCGCCGCCGCAGCCTAGTGCCGACCAATAACAATAACAAACTCGCGCACACCAACAGCAATGTCGTAGAACAATGATAATTACGGTTTTGAAATTTTTACGCATTCCGAGAGTTCCAGAAAAAGCCCACGTGCGCGAGAAACCGTAGAGAAAGGTGATGGGCGTAAAATGACGAGATCTAGTTCGCGATCTTATACACTACATATTATTATTATAATGTGTTCGAAAAAATAATATTAATACGATTTTGTTTTGCTCGCTGCTTTGCCGACGCTTTGCCAGCACTGTTATATAAAACCTATTAAAAAAGATGAAAAAGAATGAAAAACCGCGGACACGTAACGCGTATACTAAATATATGTATACGACGCGTCTTCGTCGTCCGTAACGAGAACGACGACGACGATGATGATGATGATGATGATGATGATGATAATGATGATGATGATGACGATGATGGTCGTCGTCGTTATTAAACGGTTTGAAAAAGCTGTCACCCGAACGATATTACGGCGACGTGCGGTGGGCGGAGTGTGGGTGTTGGTCGGGTGCGCAGTCCTGAACGGAGGGATGAATGAAATTAAGTGGTTAAACAATTTAAACGTCGTTTACGTTAACGGGCCTGCAACGCCACGATCATTGTGCGTATAGTACTCTCGCCGCCAACCGAATAATAATAATAATAATAATAATAATAATAATAAGTGACGGATAACAATAATCCCGATGTCATTAATGTACACCGACGGGCCGAGAACTCCGATCAGACGTAAAGTTTCGTTGGCGTTACCTATTTCCGGAATTGGGATGGCGGTTGTTGTTGTTGTTGTCGCCGTTGCTTTCGACGGTAAAATTTATTTTTTAATTCTTACGTGAACGCGTTTTCCCGAAACAAGGAAAATACCAGAAAATTACGTCCGCTCAATAGAGAGGGTAAAGCGGGGTGGTACGCCGACGTAGGTGCACTCGTTGTTGAATTGGTTGGGTTATTTGGAGTGACCGTTTTTTGAAATGCTCTCATATAGGTACGAAGATATTGTTATATCGTTAAATAATAATAGTAATAACGGCTGTACGCTCGTAACGGAATACGAGTGCATGCACAAAACAAACCCGTCATCATCGTCTACGCCGTCGTATATATTCACGCCCGAGAAACGACGTCTCTATATTTCATCGACGTGTGCCATTAAAACATCATTAATACTACCTATTACGTAGTAGACGGGTTTTTCTCGGCCGTCGCGCCGCATAAAAAATAATCGTAACAATTATCGCTTTTTACTGAAATAGAGGTGGGCCACTTGACAATAAAACACCGTCCGGAAATAAGAATTAATTATATTATTATTATTGTGTGGAGCCGGCGTTCAAATAAATAGTACGTAGGCATACGTCGGGCTCCACCGACAAAACGGCCAGATTGTAAAAAAACGGCCGTTTCAAATATTACGTCGTAATAATATAGTTATCAATAACAAGCGTTTGTTGTTTATCGTTCGTGTATTACAATAATTCATTAATTCGTATACACTTAAACTATGTAAATTATAATAATAACACAATATATAACATTATAACATAGATATACACATGGATCGTAACGATGACGGCCACGCACATAGTGTATGATAATGCGATACGTTTCGTTTTCACTTCAAAAGGGTTTTTATACACAGTCGTCTCGAATCGACGAATCGGCAAAGGGGAGGGATAAAAGCGTGTTAATAACCCCGGTCATCGCGTTTTCCGCAGCTAAAAATATTACGATTATCGTTATTATTATTACTATCATTATCGTTATCATACTATTCCATTTTACACACAAACACGGTATGACATTCTATAAAATATATTATTCACGCCGTCCGGGCGTTGTTACGTTCGAATTTTTATGTTGGGATACGTAAAACCACGGACGGACGACGCGATTCGAGCTCACCATTATCTCTCGCCGACCGTCATTATCGCGAGTCCGGTATTTTAACGACGGAGAGTCCAAACAGAGGAAACCAGAAAATAGAACGGAATTAAAACGGGGAAAAAAATTAATTTAAAGAGAATAAGACGGGAGATCCGTAAGCTATAGCCCGAACAACGTTTTTGCACGTATAGTCACCGGGGGGAGACGTAGCGTGTTGTTGTTGGCGTTGTTGTTATTGTTGTACCACGCCGCGTTTTCGTGACGTAAACTTTCAATCGGATAAAATCGAAAAGTCCGAAGCTTTGAAAACAAAAATACTCTTAAGACGCGCGACAAACAATGACCAGCGAGGGGGGAGGGAAATGTTATTTTTCCTGGAAAACGTACGAATACCGTGTATCATCTTGATCCTCCACACGTCTACGGGTACATGTATAGAGAGAGAAAGAGATTCGAGTGAAGAGGCTCGGGTGGGGGGGTAGAGAGAGTTATTGGTTTTTCACGCGGAAACCGCTTAGAAAACGAACCGTAGAACAATATTAAACGTATATATATATATATATGTGTATGTGTGTGTGTGTGTGTGCGCGCGTGTGTATATGATGGCACTGCCGAGGCGGGAAAAACAAAAACCCGTCGAAAGGGGAAAAAACAACGTCGTAATATAATTCCGGCAAAACTCTATGACCAGACACCGTAAATATAATATTTTATATACGACGACCGTGCGCGCGAGTTTACACGTACACGATACATATAGTGATGATTTTGCCGCGCAATTTTTCACGGTCGACAGACCACACGGCGGCGGCACCGACGGCTCGCAGTCGCGTATTTTTAGAACGCGTTTTCTTTTTCGTACATAGAAAATAACGACGACGACGACGACGACGACGACGGCGACGACTACGATGGTAATTACGAGATTGCGTGCGCGCGGAAAGAAAGGACGGCGGCGGCGGCGACGCGTGGGGACACCGTGTACACAATATATATATATATATATTGTATCGCACGTAAGTACACCACACACGCACACGATTGTTCGCGTACATAATAATAATAATAATACGTCGCAGCCAGCGAGTGTGTGTTATACGATCTCTCGTCGAGCCGATTATTATTATTATTATTATTATTATTATTTCGTACTCGCACCACGTCGCCGTCACCGCCGCTAATCCGTTCGGCGTAATAAATTATTAAATCGCCGTCGCGGCCGACGACGACACAACAATAACAATTTATAATAATAATAATAATAATAATAATATAATACGTCTTCTCCTCTCCTGTGCATATCAATCGGACTGCACCACCGAGACGCGGTCGAACAGATGGTTATATTACAGACGTTCGCGCTCGTAGTATGGTGTCGTCGTCGTCGTCCGCGTGCGGCGTACGAAAATAAAAAAATAATAACAAATTTCTATATGCGATATACATATTATTTCTATTTTTATTATTATTATTATTACTACTAGTAGTAATAGTAGTAGTAGTAGTAGTAGTAGTAAATAGTATACGACGCGCGACGTTTACGACTGTCTTCCGGTGTTAGTGAAATAATCGTAATCATAATAATAATAATAACATTATGCGCAACCAAACAAAGTAAAGCAATAATAATAATAAAAATGATAGTAATAAAAATAATATCGATTATAATAATGAGGAGAAAAATAACAATAATAATAATAATAATAATAAGTAGCGTATTCGTTTACAGGATGAAGCAGACGGCGTGCGGAGAGATCCGACTATAGTTGGCGCGCTTTTTCAAAAAACGACCGTCTCCGCCGTCGCCGTATCACCCATTCACCCATCAATACGGGCAATCATGATAATTATTTTAATTTCTATTTCAATACAAGAATAATCTGAACTATTGCAATTATTAAATATTTTACATTTTTATTTAAATACAACAAAGTAATAGTAATATGACTATAAATATGCTGATAAAATAAAATTAGACATACCTGATGTGTATTCGAAGAGGATTCAGTAGTTTTCAAACGTTTTTTGATTCTTCGACCATGTCTTTAAAGAGCGCGAAAATCGGCGAAAATTGAGTTCCGTAAAAGCGAAACGAGTCAACATATAAGACACATATAATTACAAAAATAATTCAAAGTACAAAAAAAAAATGAACGTCAAAAAGTATGTATAATTGTTAATAACACGGCACAAGTGCACAAGTACGCACAAAATATCGGCGGGAGAATAAAAATGTCGTTAAAAGTCAGTAAACTTTTATTCCGCAGGGCAAACGACAATGATAATAATTAAAATAATAAAATAAATCGTGTGAAAACCGTCGGGACGGCCGACAGATTAAACGAAGCGACGGTAAAATTAAGCGCGCGACGACGGCGTGAGAAGTGTTGTACGGAGCGCGTGTGTTCGTGGTGTGAGGTACGACGACGACGAGTACGGGAACGGTCGACCGGCGTCCGCGAAACGTGTGGCGGTAATGAGCAGCAGCCGCCGGCACGGCGGCACCGCCGCCACTACCACCACCAACGCCGCCGCCGCCACCGCCGCCGCCACCGTCGTCGTCGTGCGCGTCGTAAATATATATATATATATATATGTACATACATGTATATCATACGTGTGTGTATACCATACTCGCGAGCTCACTCACACACTCTCACGCGCACACACTCACACACACACACACACACACACATATATAATATATATATATGTGTGTGTGTGTACGAACGACGTGTGTGCGAGCGAGAAGAATTGGAAAATGTCATATGTCCAGCGGCGGCGGCGGTGGTGGACGACGACCGCGGGAGGCCGCGTTATCGCGTTCCCGCCGCCGCCGCCGACCACCAACCGTACGACGACGTCGACGGCGGTGGCGGACCGGACACCCCCGAAAACCCGATACGCACGCACGTACCGCCGCCGTCCACTATTATAATATTATATTACGCTGTGGCCGACGCTGCAGTGGCGCGGTGGCGGCGGTCGTTTGCCGCGCAGTATATAATAATATGTGTACATAATACCGTCGTGTACCGGAGACGACGCTATATATATATATACATCACAATATTATAATTCCCCTACGACACACACGCACACCTAACGGCACAGTACCCTTCCGCGGGGGGCTAGGTCCGCGCACACACACACCCGCGTGAGTGTGGGTGTGTGTGTGTGTGTGTGTGTGTGTGTGTGTGTGTGTGTGTGTGTGTGTGTGTGTGTGTGTGTAAGTCCTGCACCACCGATAACCCGTGAGACCGTCGTCGTCGTCGTAGAGTAGGAGTAGAGTGGGAGATTATTATTATTGTTATTATTCGAAGGGTACACTACCCAAGAGCAGCGTGGGCGGCAAGTGCGCTCTTCGTGATTTTACGATTCGTATTCGCTGGAAATCCGTGAAAAATATTTATACGTCGCAAATCGTTTTCCCCGCTCGGCGGGTGTAAAACGAAATTCGTTTTGCCGTCCGCGTAATTGCGTACGGCGCGTATAATATAATATTGTTATTATATATTGGTCGGTCGAAGAGGGAAAAAACGAAATGGACGACGAGAGAAAAAAAAACGATTATAATGATATTATATTCGTCGTCGTCGTCCTCGTCATCGCCGACGGTTGCCGCAACCGCAGCCGCAGCCGACGCACCACACACGCGGCCCCGCCGCCGAGTTTTTTTTTATTATTTACGCGAGAATATTACGTCAGATAAAACGCATATTATATTATTATTATTATACCGAACGTCGGCCGCCGCAGCCGCCGCAGACACATGCGAGTGGGTCGAAAAGCATATTTTCCTTTTTACGCGTATAAATAATAATATTTCGGTATACACCTCTCGAGTCTCTACCTATAACGTTATAAATACATATTAAACATTATACACCTATATAATATTATTATGATTATTATTACACGTTATTTTATGTATTATATAAGTGCGATTTTTTTCAAGAAAAAATTGTTTTTCGATACATCTCGTGTTAGCGGCAGCATTGGACGATTGGCGGTGCGAGGGGGGTGATGGTGGCTGAAAGTCGGCGGAACGGCGTGCGCGAGTAATATATAACGCCGACGAGGTAAAAAGAAAATATAATATAATATAATAGCCCGATGGATTTTTTTTTATTTTAATTTTATTTTTACTCCGTCTGCCTGCATACATTATATTTATATACTGTTACGTGATGATTTACACATTATACATAGGTACCACGCTATGTACCTGTCCGTTTCCTATTGGCGAATCAAAAAACGAAATTCGTTTCTTTTCGTACAACGTACCATAATCGAATTAAACGACGACGACGACGACTCAATCATACCACCCGATCGTAACGTACCCATAACGTATCTGTATATAATATATGTGTATTATGTATGTAAGTAGGTACATAACAACTACATTTTATTATAATACGAATCGTTTAGACACGATATTGATATACATATCGGTATTTTACCATGTGTATACACTGCATAACAGCGTAGACTTATAATAGTCGACAAAAGAAACCATTTTATACAATGCACCTATACCAATTCCGATATTATTGATATTTAATTTTTATTCGCTCGCCGAACCGCAGACGGGGTTGAATATTATTTTTATATGGTCGGTGCGAATAATTTGCATAGCATATATCATACATTATTTACTAGGACAGTAACCCACAGACATGTGATAAATTGCAAAGATGCGAATGATTTGTCTTAAAAACCATTTCCATATTGACGTTGTTCGTCGCGATGTTTTTGCGCAGAAAACTTTTTTTCCGGATGGTTCGTCAAAACGAGAAGTCTATTATTGTTAAAAAAAAAAAAAAGAAGAAGAAAAACCTAATACAAATACGCGAGTTATGAATAATAAATTGAAAATATTTTACTTCTGCGTTCTGCGACAAATCAAAAACACATATTTCACCGGAATGTTTGTTTTTAAAACGTACAGTATGGTTAGCGTACGCGTTTTTTTTATTTATTCGCTTCATTATTTTCCTTTGAAAGAACAATACCCATGTTTATTTATAGAATAATTTTGGACATCGGTGCGAGACGAAAAACTGACGGACAAAATTGTCCGCCGACCGTCTGTTATGAAAAACAATGGAAATAAATAAACAGTTCTTCGCCGCGTCGGTTGCTTACGTCCGCTGTACTACTGTGCTGCGTAAATTCAATAGCTCTCGTGGCCAGCAAGTTGAGAAACACGAATTATTATAAGACGTCTGTCAATTCATTTCTATTTAGACTTTTCATTCTGTATCAGGGTCGTCTTTCGTAATAAAATAAAAAAATAATTTAACGTCCATATACATATTATATATACATATATATACATTATAAATGGCTTTTCTTTCAAAGTTAACAGACACCGTTATGCAGATCTGGTTGCGATGCGGTTGATGTTATTTTATTAGCGATTTGTTTTATTCCATTACGTTATGAAAAAAGTTTTCTCGATTGTTTGGGCTTTATATTGCATCGCTAAATCTATTATATACACACAAAATTGATTCTTATCTCTTTTTCCGACGGAATTCGCGTATTAAATGTGTCGTCTTACAGCACTGAGAATTTCGTAGTTTTCTTTAATGCGATTATTGGAAAATACTCTTTCGTTTTTCTATTATTGTGTTATGGTAATCATCTGTTATGGTTATGAACATAATAACTAAAAAACATGCCCAAACGAATAATTTCGCCGACAACGCACAATAATATTATAGTGACGAGGGTTTGCATATTTTTTTTCATCTTAGCCGTAGATCACATTATAATAATATAGTACATAGCCGCGCTTAAAGTCGACTGAAAAATGTTGAAATTTGAATATCGTGTCGTAACGATTGGGATTTTCGTAATGCGTTTTCTCGAACCCTACCGACGGGGATTAATATTACAAATGATTTCGGTTCCGAGAGCTCGTTACACGGTTTATGCGTTTCGTATAAAATCGCCGCCGACGCCGACGACGGCGGCATCGAGAAGCGCGCCCGCGTAAAAAACGTGTAAATTGGATTTCCATATTATACACGCAGGAGGTGGTTTATCGGGTGGCAAACGGCGGCCGATCGTGTACATACATATACGAACGCTGCAGGTGCCTCATCCTACTTCCAGACCGAAGTGAAAGGATGCGGCGGCGGTAATTTAAGGAACGAAAATTGTATTCGAAAAACGGTTGCTATAATATAATAATTTATTTATGTGTATATACATATACATATATATATATATATACCGTAAACCGGTTGACATTTTTTTATATATATTTTATTTTTTTATTCTAGTCTTCGAGTTTATTATTATTACTATATTTTATGTATGTATATAATGAACAGTTATAATATTATACACTGAAAACTCGCAACCATTGTACGTGTGTGTGTGTGTGTGTGTGTGTGTGTGTGTGTCTGCGAGTGTGCGCGTACTTATATATTATTTCGTCGTTAAGTCTATTTAAAGTCGGTGGCGGTATCGGTATACGCGGGACGACTGAGTGGGAAGGGGAGACCGAATGTATAGTAGCGGCGGCAAGAATAATGTAAGACGCGTCTATACCGCCGTCGATAATGTCTACAATATACGCGGTGCACTAATCACCGTCCATCGAACACACACATTATTATTACTATTATTACTGTCTGGTATATTAAGTATAATATTGTGTACGATTTTTGAGCTGTTTACGACGACGACGAAATCGATGGACAGAGTATACAATACGTACGTCATGATGGTAATGTATCGAATCCGTATGGTGAGACCAGTGGAACCGGTCACATTACACTTTTTCAGTTTTTTTAAATATATTATGTAGGTAACCGAGTAGAGAAGAACGACATACTAACGGGAGATTAAAAGAGTTAATCCCTTTAACCGTCCATATAAATAAATATATATATATTGTATGACGTAATAAACGCATTAAACGCATTAAACACTGCAAGTGTACGATGAGAGACCTCTGTAAAATAATAATATAATACATACATTATGTATATACATAATGACAATTCAGTTGATGTTTTACATTGTAATGAAAATAATGTTGTCGGCGTGTTGTCCCCGAAAATCCCCTCTGATATGTATACATATATATTACAGCGAGTGCATTGTAATTGAAAACTATCGACGTGAGACAACTTTATGTGAGTATATATGTATATTATTGTGACACTCTACGGGACGCTGGTACACGTTTGATGTTTCCTTAAGAACATTATTCTTCAGAGACATGTGACAAGTTACAAGGTTCGGGATTGTACAATTGCTGTTGGCGTCGATATTAATACATATTTTCAGTATCAGCCTTTGTGTCCGATCCCATAATCGCCTCGCCCTGTCCACATAGCTTAATGGTGTAACTCTCTCGTTTTGGCGCGGCGGTGGAGCACGAAAATCGGAAGACCCCGTACCGCGGAGGTGGCGGACGCGCATTCTTGGGGTTTTAAAAATCGACCCGACGGCGACCGCCGATTGGACATGC